ATTAGTAAATCATTCTCTCATAGCTTATTAATCATTAATAAATGCTCAAATTTGTACTTAAATATGCATTTGTAAACATGCAAATGAGTAGTTCATGAGTAATTAAGAAGTATTGAGTAACTATTTACAGCACAGACGAATTAAGTTAAGTGCTAATTCAGGTAGTAATTAAGTAGTTACTAAGCGTGAATCATTATTAATTAAGTCTTTGTTCATGCTTTATTAAGGCTAAATAAGGTGTAGGTGTATTATAAAGTGTTACCGCGTTATTGGGTGCAAACGGCGGACACACAAGATATTGACATTTGTTATCTGTGGCTGAATTTTTCTTTTTCTTTTTCAATTACCTTTTCTACTGTTAGTTTTGTCTTTTCATGTTCAATATCATTCAAATTGAGAAATAATATTGAAAAATTAGACTGTTGCGTTTTTAATGCCTCTTAGTGTAGTATAGGTCAGTGAACACTAAAGAGACGCTATCATTTCATGACGTTACGTGAACTCAACGTATCGTGCTGAATCTGAAAGAAAGAGAGAGACGAAGCCCAGGTCAAAGTAAAGGACGTGTATTTACAGATATCATAGTATTTATAATATTCACAATCATTCACAACTCAAAGGGAGGATCTGTGGAGCAAACAGGGTTCAGTAATTCTCCACAGACTTAGTAGTATTCATCTGGTACCAAAATAGGCAGTTATTATCTGTGTTAGAACTGGGATAAATATGAGAATATGTGTGATATAAACTCATCTGAACACACTCTTTGCATCAGAACTTTTTACAGACAGTGAAGTGACGCCCCATTTTCTCACGACAAGAAACAGACAAAAATAATGCAGGAAATACAACTGTGATTTCAATTGTAGAATCTTCACTGTTTCTAAAAATAAACTCTTTTTTTAATATTTCAATTGTATTTTGATCAAATCTGAGTATTTTTTTTATTTTGTTCTGTTTCGAGTCGCGCGTTCGGAGACTCATGGGAGGTAAGGTGGCTGGTAAGGTTCAAAATTAACAGGTGCTCTTCTCCATAAAGCAAAACAGCTCCACCGAATTCTAGGAAAACTAAAATTTAGATTTGCAATGAAATTTTACAGAAATATTATCAAAATTATTAAATTATTAAATAATTATCATATGTGAACAAAGTTGAGATTTTAAAAAGGGATTGTAGTGGTTTTGGGCACCTTTTTAATTGTGTTTTACATTTAAAAAAATATAACTATAAGTCAAAAAAAAGTTTTAATTTGCAATAAAATGTGTAGATAAATATTGTTCAAATAAAATCCATATACAGAAAAAAATAGAATTAAGAAAGAAGACATTTTAAGTTTTATAATGACTTTTTTAAAATAGTTTTGGGCACTTTTGCAATTATGTTTTACATTTTATTTTATTTTTAAAGTCTAAGTCAAGAAAAATAATTTAATTTGCAGGTTGCAGGTAAAATTGTTCAAATAATACGGAAAATTTTGATTAAAAAAGGGGACACTTTAAGCATTGTAGTGACTTTTAAAATAGTTTTGGGCACCTTTACACCTTTGCAGTTGTGATTCATTTGGGATCAGTTTTTTCAATTTAAACCTACAACTAAAGTCTGGCAAATTAAAATATTGAATTGCAATAAAATTTGTAGATAAATATTGCTCAAATAATATCCAGATACAGAAAAAAAATTGAATTAAGAAAGGAAACATTTTAAGCATTATAGTGACTTTTTAAAATAGTTTTGGGCACCTTTGCAATTATGACTTTTATGACATTTTATTTTATTTTTTAAGTCTAAGTCAAGAAAAAGAATTTAATTTGCAGGTTGTAGGTAAAATTGTTCAAATAATACAGATTTTTTTTATTAAAAAGGGGACACTTTAACCATTGTAGTGACTTTTAAAATAATTTTGGGCACCTTTGCAATTGTGATTCATTTGTGATACATTTTTCAATTTAAGTCTGGCAAATTAAAATATTGAATTGCAATGAAATTTGTAGATAAACATTGTTCAAATAATAGTCATGCACAGATACAATTATGTTTAAGAAAGTGTACGTTTTATGTGTTATAATGACTTTTTAAAATGTTTTGGACACTTTTGCAATTGTGTTCTACATTTTACATTTGTGAGGTGCATTTTCTAACTTTGCTCCTTCGCTTTCCATTTGAATGAATTACGTCTGACGCCCTCTGCTGGTCACTTGTAAAGAAAGATTTACAGCACGGCCATTTTCAACTTCACTAAACTATGAAGGTTTGCTAATTTAAAATAATGTACTTGCTAGATGCTCAAGAATATTAAGTATGTTAAACGTTCACTATGTAACTTTTCTGCTAAGAGTCCAAGACCTGGTTGTATCCATGGAGATATGCTAAGAAGATTGCTTTTGCCTATACAATAAAATAATATCATGAATAATATGCAAGGCCCACCTCTCCACAGATCAGACCTGTAAACTGGCTTGGTGCTTGTCTCCACGGAAATAGACAAGTTTAATATCACACTGTGAAAAAATCCAGGCAAAACCACATCTCCATAGCGATGAACCCTCTGCCCTGAAAGGTACACAGTGCACCTTTAACAATAATGAGAAGAAATGTACCCAAAAGTTGACAAAAACGTAAAAGAAATCTCACAGTTTTGGTGTAATCTTCCAAATAAGGCTATGGTGAGGTGTTAATACTGTTGCCATGGTGATTAACAATTCGTGGCCATACCAGTTTGCCAAAGCCTGATCCCGTCTAGTTCTTGGATGGGAAAATCGGGTACCACGGGGGGGGCACCAGACACAAAAACTGTTGTTGTGTCCTTGGGCAAGACACTTCACCCACATTGCCTAGTAAGAAAGCGCGAGTGACGGTGGTGGTCGGAGTGAATGGATAATAAACTGTAAAGCGTCTTTGATTGTCCAAAGAAGCGCCATATAAAACCGTTGCATTATTATTATTATTATTATTATTATTATGAACAATTATTCAACTTCTAAATGGGAAAAAATCTTCAAAATGTTGCAAATGACAAAAAGCACTTCATTTTACAATCTGTTCACTTTTTAGGTCATAGTTAAAATGAATCCAATATTGTCACAAGCATCTTTTAGCATCGCAAAAATTATAATAACATTGTCCCCATAAGATAAAGTCATCCTCTGCATTTGACCCGTCCTTCAGTGTCACTGGGTTAAACCTGTCAGGAGCAGAGGACCCAGTGACCCACCTTCAGATCCTGAGCTGGTCTTGGTCAGGACTAACTTAGCTGGGATGGAAGCATTTGACCAACTGTGCATGAAAAACAGAAAAGAAATCAAAGAAAGATGTATATTTCTGTCACTATCTCTCACCTTTAGTCCAAACTGATTCAATTTTATCAGACTAGAAAGGATTACTTACAATTTTTAATGAAACAAAAGAAATCTTGAGGTATGTTTTTGAGAAGAAAGCAACTCTAATTCATGTTTAGAGTTTTTTTTATTTGTTTTTAATCACCATTTATATTTTTGCTCATTGCTGTTATATTATATTGTGATGTGTAGAGATACATGGATCCAACTTTTTTCTGTTTCCGTTGTTGATATTTTGGCTTTAAAGGTGCATTGTGTGACTTGGTCGTCGGTCCGTCACCTGCTTGTTTCTATGGAGATGTCGTCGCTCTGCCTGGAATGTTCCGCAGTGTGACATTAAACAGCTCTACTTTACATTTATTCAATTACAGGTGGTTTTATAGCTCAAAAATACCTAGAAAAACTGATTCTGACTGTGAGCGGGATCGCCTCTCCGCAGATCTGACCTGTAGCTGGTCTGGTTTAGTTTCCATGATGATAGAAAGGTTTAACGCCATACTGTGGGACATTCCGGACAAAGCAATAACATCTCCATGAAAAAAAGCATTTAACAAACTCTCCATTGGTAAAGTTACACAATGCAATTTTGAGTAAAGTATAGATACCTAAAACTTGTAATTGAGTATTGTACTTTTACTTTTGTACTTTTGTTGCATTCCACCATTGGATATGAAAGGAGCCGATATCCGGTCCATCAAAATGTTCAGTATCGGCGCTGGTATCAGATCCCAGTGTCGTATCAGTGCATCTCTAGTGATGCATGAGCCACTGTGTCCAAATCATTTCCCTTGTGGATCAATAAAGTGTGTTTAAATCTAAGTCTGGTTGTTTTTGATGGTTTCTTTTTATTCTGAATTTGGCTGGAGTGGAAGAGCTTTTTGGAAGTGGGTCCTGCTTTAGTGCAAGAGTCAGTAACACTTTATAATAACTACACCTTATTTAGCCTTAATAAAGCATGAACAAAGACTTAATTAATAATGATTCATGCTTAGTAACTACTTAATTACTACCTGAATTAGAACTTAACTTGCACTTAATTTGCCTGTGCTGTAAATAGTTACTCATAAGTATTTCTTACTTAATTACTCATGAACTAACCATTTGTGTGTGCATTTGTAAATGTATATTTAAGTATAAATTTGTGCATTTATTAATGATTAATAAGCCATGAGAGAATGATTTACTAGTAATGCATTATTGTTTCTCTGGAATTTGACCAACCTTAACAAATGCTTAATAAACATAATTAGCTTCACTTTAGAAAAGCTCTCAGAAAGACTTAACTAACAGATAACAACTGCCTGAATGATCATTACATTGTATTATTAGTAAATCATTCTCTCATAGCTTATTAATCATTAATAAATGCTCAAATGTGAACTTAAATATACATTTGTAAATATGCAAATGGTTAGTTCATGAGTAATTAAGAAGTATTGAGTAACTATTTACAGCACAGATGAATTAAGTGCAAGTTAAGTGCTAATTCAGGTAGTAATTAAGTAGTTACTAAGCGTGAATCATTATTAATTAAGTCTTTGTTCATGTTTTATTAAGCCTAAATAACGTGTAGTTATTATAAAGTGTTACCCAAGAGTCAAAGATGTGGATGATTTAAAAAGTGAAAAAAGACTTTATAATATAATATAATATAATATGATACAACAGTAATATACGTGTGGGGGGATAAACGGGGGACCAAGGCATTACAGAGAAAAGCCCTTAGATTTGAGCCAATATGAATCAACCTAAAGGTGCACTGTGTAACTTTTTGGTTGGAGGTTAGTCACCTGCGTGTTTCTGTGGATATGCCACTGCTTTTTTCAATTACAGATGGTTTTATTGCTCAAAAATACCTAGAAAAACAGGCATTCTAACTGAGCGGGGTCGCCTCTTCGCAGATCTGACCTGTAACTTGGTCTGGTTTGGTTTCTATGGTGATAGAAATGTAGAAAGAGACACTGGGAGTAAGTGGGGAGGAGCTGTAACCTGTTTGCCTCCCTCGTGATTGATAGTTTTGCTCAATACTGTGGAACATTTTGGATAAATAACAATAGCATCTCCATGGAGAAAAGCGTGTGACGGACCCCCCACCAGAAAAGTTACACAATGCAGCTTTAAATGAAAAAGTTTTGATACAGTTAAATTCATTCTCCATTCAAAGATAATACATTTTCATAGCATACTTTTTTATTTAAATAGAAGTGATTTTGTGTCAAGTTACAGAGGTGGGTAGTGAATAATTTAATATGGCATTATCTGTTTCCATGGAGACAAGCAGGTGAAGCCACCAGACCAAGTTACAGGTCAGATCTGTGGAGACTCATTGACCCTGCTGACAGTCAGAAAGCATTTTTTTCAGGAATCATTTCAGGAATAAAAACACCTTTAACTGACTGAATGCCAGATAGATTTAATGCCATACTATGGAACATTCCAGAGAAAGCAACATCTTAACTGAGACAACCAACTGGGACTAGGACCTTCCACCAGAAAAGTTACATAATGAAGCTTTAAAAGGGCACCACGTTTTCTAGTTTCTAGTGCCACCTGCTTGTCTCCATGGAAATGTTAGTGCTTTGTCCAGAATGTTTCACAATATAGAGTACAACTAGTGTAGACTACAGTAAAACAAACAGGTTACAGCAGGGGGTCCCCAACACCCAGGCCATGAACCAGTACCAGGCCGTGAGTCCTTTGGTATCAGGCTGCAAAAGTGCTAACCCCCCTATACGCCGCGTGGGCCGTGTCTTTTCATGTACGCCATGTAGACCGCCCCAGGTCTAAACCAGGTCTAAACCAGGTCTAAACCAGGTCTAAACCAGGTCTAAATCAGGACTAAACCTAGCCTGATTCATCAGCCGGTTTCACTTTGTGGAAACCGTCTGACCTCGCAGCGTTAGGATTCGTTCACTCAACAGTAGGCGGGTACTTTTGTATTTAACCAATCGCTGCTATTTGGTTGTGGTGTATGTAACTGATATATTAAGCTTTTCCCAAATTCCGTAGGAAGAGGGCAATAACATCTTTCCCCTTGATAAAATTCACCAAACATTCCAAAATCCTTGATCTCAGGAATCGATGCCAATACAGAATATATGGCTCTTCGCTGATTGGCTGGTGCCCGAACTCATGACTGTTTTGCGAACTGTCAAGTGTATTCTGATTCCTGATGTAGTCACTGGAGAGAAATTAAATTAAGTGGAAGCACTAGGTGTTACCAGCCTGACTAGTCTTAACCAGGACTAAACCAGGACTAAACTAGGACTAAAACAATATTTAACCAGGACTAAACTAGGACTAAAACAAGATTTATCCAGGACTAAACCAGGTCCAAACCAGGACTAAATCATGCTGTGTGAACTGTGCACCGCGCTTCCTCCCATGCCACCTTCCGTGAAAATACTGTCCCTAAGAGCACAAAAAAAAAAAAAAGGTTGGGGACCACTGGACCGTTACAGCACTGTGCTACATTACAGTTCAGATCTGTGGAGAGTCGCCCCTATTCACAGAAGGAATTACTGTATTTTTGAGCAATAAAAACACCTGTAATGAATATATGCTATAAGGATGTTTAATGTCATACCATGGGACATTCCAAACAAAGCAATAACATCTCCATGGACAAATGTAGGTAGCAGATCCTCCACCAGAAAAGTTACAGAGTGAAGCTTTAAGTAATAAGTATAATGTTTGGCTTTTACCCACCTCTGTTGATCTATTCTGAATATCACTGATTTCAAAAGCAAAAAAAAAAAAAAAAAAAAGTAGTTTAAGAGGATACATGGATTTTAATTTTTATTGTTGTATGTAGATAAGCCTCAAAATTTCAGACACAAAGCAAAAACTACCACATTTCCTTCCAATTTAAATATGTAAACATCATATTAACACAACCTACGGATTCCTGGTTTCGTTGAGTTTAATCCTGCAGTCTACGCCACAGTCAGGGGGGTTCAATTTCGTATTTAGTTCCTACAATACTAATAATAATAGATGGATGGGCCAATGGGAAACAATGGCTTTGAGGAGAGAGAGAGACAGGGATCATAGGTCAACATATACCCCATTATAAACATGCTCTTAAAGCTACGGCGTGCAAAAGTCCAGCTCCTCTTCGTCAACCCCATACACATGAGTTATGCATTCGATAATATGAAAAAAAAAACACAAGAATTGACGCAAGAAAAAAAAAAGGTTTTAACAATAATTATATCAATGCTTCGTTGCGGTCACCACTTCCTTAAACATTAAGGAACCGAGCAAAGGGGGTCCTCCCGTTGGCTGCTGGGATGCTTAAGCCCCTCCCAGATAGTCCCAGCCAGGTCCATGTACTAGTATGTGCTTGATAGATGAATATATAGATTTGTGTTGAAGTGAGGAGCAGAGGAAGCAGGCTGATAAGATTACAATGGGCGGTGGTTGTGGAGGCGGTGCTGCGTTCACAGACGTTCTTTTGTGGGAATCCAGATGTACGGTCCCGACTGCTCCTCGATTATGTGTTTAACCTGCGAGTAGATCTCCTCCAGACTGGACCCCTGCACGATCCCTGGAACAGACAAACAGTTTTTTTTTTTAGAGGAAAAAATATCTATTAGCGGCAGAAATATCTATTAAATCGTGAGGCTCATGTGCGTTGTTTTATGATACACGCTCCTCTGTGAGTTTATGGATATAAAAACAGCTGGAGACGAGAGGCAGCAAAATTTTTGTCTGTCATTATTGAAAGTGAGCGCGGGTTTGCCGTGTGTTTTGGAGATTTTATTCACTGTTTTCCTCCTATGAGTAACATCAGCGCACACACAGGGCTCGTATAGTAAAGTCCTGCGTGTGCGTACATGAGCAACTGCACCGTGCTTTGGCCCACCTCGTCCAATCAGGCCAAAGTCCCATCCGTTCTGCGCACGGCTCAATAGCACTCACACTGGGCTAACGTACCGCACTTTAGGGGCAGTCCGTACTTGGGCTAGTGGGAGTGCACCCTTAGAATCCAGAAGAGACTGGTATCAGACCATAGCATGAAAAACCTTAAAACGGCATAAAGCATGGCTCCAAGTTGTTTAATACACTTATACCACAGCTACAAACTGAAACGTCTCATCTGTGAATCTGAAAAGCCATGTCCAAAATATCAGTTATTGCAGTGTTTTAAATAAAGGTATTCCTTACATTCTACTCAGAGCTGATTTAAAAGATATGGATTCCACAAAGATGCTGAAAGTCCCATTACTAGTCTGTGGAGATGAACAATGAGTAATTGGGATGGGCATTCGATAAAATGTTCTTAATCGATCGTCGGGAGAACACTGACGTGCATGTAAACACACTCACTGAGTGTTACAGTGATCTCCAAGAGCCAGAGCTGAAATGTGGGACTGTGAGGCACAACTCCGGTGTTTGTGCTGTTAGACGCAGTCTCATCTTCTTAAACTACGCTACGCACAGCAACATACATTCAGTTTGTCAGCTAAAAATGAATATGATCAATGAAATTCTTAATGATCAATTATCGATTAGTTGGCTAATCATGTCCATCCCTAGTGAATAATGCATCTCAGGTAAAACTAGTTATACATAGTTCCAAATGATACAAGAATTTTTGAGAGATCACGACTGTTCCAAGTTAGGATGGAGATTTGAGGCTCTTATGGTTCCAGTTCCAGACCCCAGAATGTAGAAGGAACTGTTTGCTCAGGCAAGGAACCCTTGTTTTTACAAAAAAAACTGCACAATATTAATTTTTGCTGTCCCTTATCTGTATTAAATATTATTGTTGTGATGTCATCACAAATATAAGCATTCACAGCTCTTCATTCATCTGGCCTATGATTTCTAATGTGAACACATGGGAGTCATACCAGTGAAAAACTCTGTAAACTCCAGCTCTAGTTTGATGGCTCGGTCAAAGGTCTTGCGGGCCTGCTCCTCCGTTAGGCGCTTGTTCATCTCCCTGTGAACGAAAGAAACAGAGTAAACATACAGTAAAATATAACTTTTACAGCATCACCTGATTCTAAACTTCTGACTTTTATTACAGATGAACCTAGATGACATGGTTAGTCGGCTGTTTGTGATAAAGAATAAGGTAATATAAGCAGTTTGTGTAACGTTCAATAAACAGCGCATAATGTTTGAACTCGGTAACACTTGGTCACAGTTTTATTTGTTTGTTGATTGTCACCCTAGTTTATATAGGATGATAATAATGGACGTACTTAAGCGCAAAATTATAATTAAAGGTGCACTTTTCTGGTGGAGGGTCCGTCAAACGCTTTTCTCCATGGAGATGTTATTGCTTTGCCAGGAATGGTTCACAGTATGGTATTAAAACTTTCTATCTTCATGGAGACCAAATCAAGTTCAAGGTCAGATCTGTGGAGAGACAACCACACTAGAGCATGGACCAAAGACGGGTTCAGGTTCAGACAAATATTTAGAACTTATGTTAAGGCTTGGCTCGGACTCAAACACATAAGCACGTCAGCTGTTTCCTGTCTACAGTAAAACCACTCCCTCTGAGACTCTGAAGTGTTCAAAAGATCAAAGCTCTGCACTTCTAGTTCAGATACAAGTCAAAACCGTGTTATTATTATTTGTGAAATGTGCAAAACTTCAGATATGTGATTTTTAAAGCATAAAAGATTGACAATAAAGTTCACAGGAAGTAGAGTCACTATCTCTAATCTGCAGCTTTACCTTGATCCGTGCGCTGTGTGGATGTAAACAGACACACGTGAACTACTTTCGCCTTTTTACTTTTAAGGAACACTTCAAACTGGATTAACAGTGCTGTTTTGTGGACTGGATGTCATTATTTACAGAGGACAGTTTCTATGGATAATGTGTATGGGACGCTGCAGTTTAAATGTAAAGTCTTTTCATTATTTTTGCTCTATCCTGAGTTTGTATTTTGCATCTTTGTGTCCGTTAGAGCCCACAGAAACAATATCCTACGTGTTTCATTAGTAGGCCTATGAAAATAATGTGATTTTAATTGTGTAGGGTTCAGACACAAATATCTTCATGTTTATCTTACTCGGGTCGAAATTAGTCACTGAATGCATCCCGATCCACACTCTAAACCACGCACATAGGTATTCACAGTCAAAATACCCGTTTTCCTAGGAGTTTTTCAGCTATTGAATGATAAGTTGATATATTAATTATTGTGTAAAGCATAATTCAGCAGGACCTTCGTGTGTGCAGGCTCAGGATGTTGTGGAGCTTTAGTATCATTTCTCTTACATTTGAAAGAGCTTTCTAACATGTTATAACGTTGTTCCCTCATCAAAATGGCAAATGGGTGGTGGGTTAAGTGTCTTGCCCAAGGGCACAACGGCAGCATTCATCCGTGGGAGCTGGAATCACACCGGCCAACCTGTGAGTCAGTGGATCTGACCGCTCAACCCATGATGTTTATGTTGAGAGCAGGATTCAAACCACCAACCTTCAGATCAGTGGGCGAATGCTCTACCAACTGAGCTACTGCCGCCCCGAAAACATCTCTGCAGAGTTTTTTTTAGTCATTCATCGTATCGTGAGTATTTTAGGCTACGTTCAGACTGCAGGGCTTAATGCTCAATTCCGATTTTTTGTGTGAAATCCGATGTTTTTCCGAGGTCGTTCACATTTCCAATTAAATGTGACTTGTATGTGACTCCAGTGTGAACGGTAAACGGTTTGAAAGTGTCCCGCATGTGCACTGGAGACACGATGACGTCAACCGCAGCGAGCGTCTCTGTGTTTACGGAAGTTGTCCAAACATGGAGGCGAACATTGAGCACCTGGAGATTTTAAAGTTCCTCTCGTACCGCAGCCAGAACATGAACAACTTACTTGTTTTAAGGAGGAGATTGAGAAGGAGAAGGACGAGGTTTTTGGCCGTGGTGTTTTGTGGGGCAGCGGCAGCGACGTCTGTTGAAAGGAACGTGTGGATGTGGAGACGGAGCCAAGAGTGGTGAGTGGTGATGTGCTTCACTTCAGTGACATGGAGTTCATTAACAATTTTTACCTACTTCAGCGCAGAATAGTGACGTTTGTGGCTTGTTGATAACGTGTAGGTTAGATTCATGCGCTTTGGCCGTTCACACTGAAGTCGCATGTCAAAAGATCGGATATGTATCGGTTTCAGGACCACATTTCAAAGTGACCTGGGTCGCATTTGAAAAAATCGGATCTGTGTCGTTCAGTCATTAAAAGATCAGATACAGGTCACATAGAGGCCAAAAAATCGGATTTGGTTCACTTCAGGCTGCAGTCTGAACGCAGCTTTAGTGATCTCTCCCGGGCCCTATTCGAACCCACCTTACAGTTATCATCCATTTTCCCATGCGACAATTCTCCATAAATATACAAAAGCATGATACAAAACAATACACTACAACTTCACAAACCTGATGCGATGTGCAGTAGTTTTATTAATGAAACGCACACAGATTGTTTTGTGAATGCGCTCTGTATTTATTCAGTTCCAGGTGTTTTTATTTCTCAAAACTACCACAACAACTTGCATTATTCCTGCGCGCTGTGTGCCCACTTCTTCCACAGATCTGACCTGTAACGTGGTCTGGTGATGTGGTCAGTGATTGTTGTGTCCACATTTATGCTTTGCACAATAATACAAATGAAAACAGGTATTCTAACTGTGAGCGGGCTTGTCTGTCCACAGATTTGGCGTATAACTTGGTCTGGTCTCCATGGAGATGAAATTAAATACCATACTACAGGAAATAAACAAGAATATCTAATGGAGTCAAGCAGGTGGCGGACCCTCTATTAGGAAAGTTTCATAGTGCACCTTTATTCATAATGTTAAATTTCATAGTTGTGATTCCAAATTTCAGTCCCAAGTCTAGTGCTTTGTGTTTTCAGACTCACATGATGTTTTCGATGTTGCGGGGTTTGATGAGGATGGCGATGGGGTGGAGTCCTGCCAGCTGCAGACGCTTGATGGCGTTCCCTGACACGTCCAGGATACAGTGCTTACCCTGGAACAGACAAGGGCCTTTAGTACACAGCTAAACACGACCAAAGTACACTAATAAAGCCGCTGTAGGGAAACGTGTAGAGATGTAACAATAACCGAAATATCATGATATCGTATCGTCAAAAGTCTCACGATAATACCGTGGGCCATCACAATATACTGAAATACTGTTTAAATTTCTTATCTTAAATTCATTGTTATGGTGCAGAACCAGAAAGAACTACATAGATCATGATCCTTTGCTCTGTTTCAGTCCAATCTTCATGCTGAAATAACTCTTATTGAGCACTTTTAAATCTTATTTGGATTATGACAGAAAAACAGCATATTCACAATTGTGTTAGCTTCCACCAAATGTATAGATTAATACATTTCGCACCGTGAGATTCATATGGTGAAAATATCGTGATTAGATAGTGGTTAGAATACTGTTACATCCTCTCATATATCCTCTGCATTTGACCCATCTTTCTATGTCGCTGGAGAAACACATCTTGAGCTAGTGTTGGTCAGAACTTCCTTTGCTGGATGATTTGACCCAGTGTTCATGTTTTGGGTTGATGGAGGAAACCAGAGATTCTGAAAGAAACCCACCCAGACACAGGGAGAACATGCAAACTCCACACAGAATCCCGGAACCTTCTTGCTAGTCTTTGTGAATTACACACATTCACATATAGATAGTGTAGCGCCCCCTGTCTGTGCGTACCTTCTCTGCGACCTGGCGCACAGACTGGATGCTGGTGCCGTACAGGTGGTTGTTGTACTGTCCGGCCTCGATGAACTTGTGCTCCTGGATCTCTCGCTCCATCAGCTCCCGAGACGCCATGAAGTGATAGTCCCGGCCGTCCACCTCATAGTCCCGCCGCGGCCGGGTCGTGTCTGCGGAGAGGGGGTACAATATATGAATGAAATTGTGTTTAAGCTAAATTTGGTTATTTTAAAACATCTGCATGAATTGTCACTATTATTTAATGTTATTAAAATATGAAATTGAATATGTTTTTAATGTCTGGTGTCTCCCATGTATGGCTTATTTACAACCACAAATATAAAAGAATTTTCACCTTTTGTGAAGGACTATGGAGTAATCAATTTATAAACCAAGATAAAAAAAAAAAAAAAGTAAACCGGGTCCAGGAATAAACCAGAACAAAACCAGGTCTACGCTACACCTAAACCAGGACTAAAACAGTCCATATTTTTTTATTTTGTCTTCTTTTGTTCATGCAGCTGCAGCCATGTCATGCCATAACATGTCAACAACAATCTCCTACTTTATTCTCTTTAAAAAGAACTCAAGAAGTTAAGGACTAAACCAGATTGAAACCAGATTGAAACCACTAACTAACTAAACCAGGCCTAAACCGGGTCTAAATTGGGTCTAAACTGAGTCTAAACCAGGTCTAAACCGGATCCATACAAGGTCTAAACCATGTCTAAACCACGTCCAAACTGGGTCTAAACCAAATCTGAACCAGGTCTAAACCAGGTCTAAACCGGGTCTAAACCAGGACTAAACCAGGACTAAACCAGGACTAAACCGGGCCCTGTACCTCAGTGCTGGTGTGTGTAAAAAGGTGAGACTCACGTGGGACGCAGGAGCCAAACTTGTCTGGAAACTCAGAGATGAGGTCATCGTTGACTTGGTCCTTCATCAGCCCCAGAATGATCACAGGACGCGTGTAGCTCACTGCAACACACAATCAACATTTAACAAAACAACCATTTAAAAATACACGCTAATAAAAATGATAAATGCTTCTTTCAATATCAGAATCCAAATGTGACATCTCTGACTTTACCCAAAGAAATGACACATTTTCTTTAATATTAGAACAGTTTTGGCTGTTAGGGCACAACTATATCAACTTTATCAATTAATCTTTCAAAAAAAATATAGAAGGAACAATATTTTTGGGGGGAGTCAATATTTATTTTTGCACTAGTGAGAAACATAATAGTAAGATACTGCACTAAGATACAATTTGAGCTGGTTTTATTGTTTTAGAACTGGTATGATTGCATTTTTTTGCAATTTAACTTTTGTTGTCTTCATTTTATGATCTCTGGGAAGCACTTTGGAAACTGCTTTGTAAAATGCATAATATAAATGAAGTGGATTTGAAGACAACAAAAGAGTATTTACTGTAGCTGTTTCTTTTAAAAGGTTTCTACTTTTAGAATATATTTCTGGAGATATTTGGTTGATTTAGTTTCAGTATTATCTATATTTATCATTGGTACCAATATATCACACTTCAAATTAATTATTATGACTGACAGTGTTGGGGAGTAACAGATTACATGTACCGGAGTTGCGTAATGAGAGTACAAATTATGAGTAACTGTATTCAGTTACAGTTACTGTTTCAGTGAGTGGTAATTGGATTACAGTTACTTTGTTGAAATAAATGGATTACATGGTGGTATTTTCCTGTTTTCACACCAGGACTAAACCAGGACTAAACTAGGACTAAAACCAGGTCCAAACCAGGTCTAAACCAGGACTAAACCAAGACTAAAACAGGACAAAACCAGGACTAAAACCAGGTCTAAACCAGGACTAAACCAAGACTAAACCAGGATTAAACTAGGACTAAAACCAGGTCTAAACCAGGACTAAACCAAGACTAAACCAGGACTAAACCAGGACTAAATCAGGACTAAACTAGGTCTAAACCAAGACTAAACCAGGATTAAACTAGGACTAAAACCAGGTCTAAACCAGGACTAAACCAAGACTAAACCAAGACTAAACCAGGATTAAACTAGGACTACAACCAGGTCTAAACCAGGACTAAACCAGGACTAAAACCAGGTCTAAATCAGGACTAAACCAGGATTAAACTAGGTCTAAACCAGGACTAAACCAGGTCTAAACCAAAATCTTTGCTTCTCTACAGCAAATCAAGTAATCCAAAGTATTCAGATTACATTGCTCACTTTAAGTAATTGAATGGATTATGTTCCAAACTACATTTTGGGGTATGTAATCTGTAATCTGTAGGGGATTACATTTTAAAAGTAACCTTCCCAACACTGATGACAGACCAACTATTTAAAGCTGCACTATGTCACTGTTCTGCCTGGAATGTTCCACAGTATGACATTAAACAGCTCAACTTTACATTTATTACATTACAGGTGGTTTTATAACGAAAAAAACAGAAATTCTGACTGTGAGTGGGGTCACCTCTCCACAGATCTGACCTGTAACTTGGTCTGGTTTAATGCCATTCCAGACAAAGCAATAACAATACTGCATGTTTATTTATCAGAAAACCAAACTAGTCTCTCACCTTCTTGTTGCATAACGGGCTGGTATGTGAGGTACGACTCTTCTTGGCCTGAAAAATATTAAAAACACACAGTTAACTCAATGGTCTGTTTATGTGTTTATGAATCAAAGCACCACATCACCACGGCAAAGGTTACACAAAGAGGATGGCCAAAAGACACAAACGCAACACTAGAGACACACAAGTTTGGCTATAACTATATAAAAGTAAGTGAGACCATGTTACACAAGGTTTGAATTGAAAAGGTATTTAATTTTGTATACAAATATATAACACACAACTCAAAATGATGTGTTTTCTTATTTTTTAACTGCTAACACATAACAAATTCAGATCACTGTTACCTTTTATGTTTTTGAAAATGCTATATTTTATTGTAGATTTAGGATTTATTGTGAGTCTCCCTTCCCTTTACTCCCTGCACTAAAACACTCCCCCTTCAGAGCACCGCTAATGAGAAAACTGCACATCGCATCAGGTTTGTGAAGTTATTGTGTACAGTTTTGTATCATGCTTTTGTATATTTATGGAGAATTGTTGTGAGCACTGGACAAGATATTCAAGTTAACTGTAAAAAGGGTTTAAATAGGGCCCGGGAGAGATCACTAAATGACCCATACATGCATGGATGACATCTAGAAAGTCTTCAGGCATGTTTTTGGTGAAAGTGGAATGTTATAACTCCATAGAAAGCTAAAAAATCAGAAACAATTGCTGGGTTTCAGATAACAGAACGTTCTAAAGGCCAGAATACAGATGGGGGCAGGTAAAATTAATATTGTTCAACTGCAGATTTTTGTTGTCATACAGCAGGTCTTGGGTCGAGTCAATAATAGAAATGATCAGGCGTCATATTTGGGAATTTACTTTTCCAGTATTCCATTGTAAAGTGCAGTGTAATCAACAACACACATTACTGAGACTAGTGTTGTAGTCAAGAGCGCACTATTTGAGACCAAGACCAGTCCGAGACCACAGGGTCCCAAGACCAAGACGTCTGAGAGTTGAGATCAAGACTTTAAAGGTCGAGACCAAATCCATTCCGAGACCACAGAGTCCCAAGACCAAGACCTCCGAGAGTCGAGACCAAGACGTGACGAAGACCTTAAAGGTCGAGATCGAGACAAGACCGAGACCACAGCCCATTGAGACCAAATCAAGACCATCTTTGTCATTTCCTACATTTATTTGTATTTTACAGTTAATTTGGCTCATATATACTGTTTATATATATTTTTTTTATTTAAGTCTATCCATTTGATCTGGTTAATGTTTATGTAGACTTAAAATAAACCAAGCAAACTCCACTGAACTTAAACACTCTGCACCCCTTATCCACATCTTGAGAATCCTTTCTTTAATCCCGCCTCCACTGGTACTTTACAGAAAACAACTTCAAAGTTAATCAAGTGTTTTGTTTTTCAAGTTCATAACATTTACAGTTACATTCTCTTACTGGTTTTGTAGTGATTTAGTCTCTGCACATTTACGTCTGTAATGAAATATGATCACACTCATCAACTGTCAGACCTCAAGTGCGAGACAAGGCCGAGACCAAGCACCATCAAGACTGAGACAAGATCGAGTCCAAATGCGCTCGAGTCTGAGACAAGACCGAGACCAAGCTCCATCAAGACTGAGACAAGATCGAGTCCAAATGCGCTCGAGTCTGAGACAAGACCGAGACCAAGCTCCATCAAGACTGAGACAAGATCGAGTCCAAATGCGCTCGAGTCTGAGACAAGACCAAGACCAAGCTCCATCAAGACTCAGACAAGATCGAGTCCAAATGCGCTCGAGTCTGAGACAAGACAGAGACCAAGCTCCATCAAGACTCAGACAAGACCGAGTCCAAATAAGCTTGAGTCCAAGACAAGACCGAGACCAAGCACCATCAAGACTCAGACAAGATCGAGTCCAAATGCGCTCGAGTCTGAGACAAGACCGAGACCAAATAAGCTTGAGTCCAAGACAAGACCGAGACCAAGCTCCATCAAGACTCAGACAAGATCGAGTCCAAATGCGCTCGAGTCTGAGACAAGACAGAGACCAAGCTCCATCAAGACTCAGACAAGACCGAGTCCAAATAAGCTTGAGTCCAAGACAAGACCGAGACCAAGCACCATCAAGACTCAGACAAGATCGAGTCCAAATGCGCTCGAGTCTGAGACAAGACCGAGTCCAAATAAGCTTGAGTCCAAGACAAGACCGAGACCAAGCTCCATCAAGACTCAGACAAGACCGAGTCCAAATGAGCTCAAGTTCGAGACAAGACTGAGTCCAAATGTGCTTTAATCCGAGACAAGATCAAGACCAAGCACCATTAAGACTGAGACAAGATCGAGTCCAAATGCGCTCGAATCTGAGACAAGACAGAGACCAAGCACCATCAAGACTGAGACAAGACCGAGTCCAAATAAGCTTGAGTCCAAGACAAGACCGAGACCAAGCTCCATCAAGACTCAGACAAGACCAAGTCCAAATGTGCTCCAGTCCGAGACAAGAATGAGACCAAGCTCCATCAAGACTCAGACAAGACCGAGTCCAAATAAGCTTGAGTCCAAGAAAAGATTGAGACCAAGCTCCATCAAAACTGAGACAAGATCGAGTCCAAATGTGCTCGAGTCCAAGACAAGACCAAGACCAAGCACCATCAAGACTGAGACAAGACCGAGTCCAAATGCGTTCGAGTCCGAGACAAAGACCAAGACCAAGCTCCATCAAGACTCAGACAAGATCGAGTCCAAATGTGTTCAAGTCCAAGACAAGATCGAGTCCAAATGTGCTCGAGTCCAAGACAAGACCAACACCAAGCACCATTAAGACTGAGATAAGACTGAGTCCAAATGTGCTCAAGTTCAAGACAAGACCGAGACCAATCTCCACCAAGACTGAGATAAGACTGAGTCCAAATGTGCTCGAGTCCGAGACTGTAAAAAAGCTGTCTCAAGGCCAGTCTCAAGACCAAGACCCATCTCGACTACTACGACACTAACTGAGACCTACTGTATTTGCTGAGGTGAGATTCAAACTGGAAACTTTCTGGTCATTGACATTTCTTTACTGCTTTACACGTCATAAAATGTCTTTCTTGTGTCAAACTGTTCAAGTTTTTACACATTGATTTAAATATATCCTCCTGACGACACGGTGTTATGGGCGCATTACCAGCTGCTCTACACTTCTGCCTGAGGTGAGAACACGAGCTGGAGGAAAAGTTTAAAATAAAACACAAAAGCTCATTTCAGGCTGATGTTGATCTGAGATATTACACTTTACTGTGGCTTTAAAATAATTTACTGTCTTAAAAAATGAAAAACAGATTGCAGATGTCCAAAGTTATTCCTCATTTACCTTATTCATTCTGAGATTCTAATTACTCACTGTAATAAGTTTATAAGAGCTTTTCACTACTTTCAGAGGAGAAATTTTGCCACCAAGGTAATGTTAACGACAACTAGCATGTTAACCGTGCACTTGCTGATTCTCTGACAATATAATGCTTCATAATTAGATGCAGACTTTACACAGCAGACTTATTTTGACCTCAAGAGCTGCTATAAAATGTATGTGTACTGTGGCAAGGCAAAGATTTAGAATTCTTGTAGAAGTGCATGTGAGGAGTAGAGTCTCTAGGCCATTTAAAGTGACAGGTTACACTAAGATTTTAACACAAATTTGACATTTTCTTCACCAGTTTGACCATTTATTAGGTTTCAAGTTTTACTTCCTGGGCCAAAACTCCTCTAATGTACACAGAAATTATTATTTGACTAATAAAACTATAAGAAAACACCTTTAATTAATTAACAAATTAATGTTTAAAGCATGAGAAAAAATGTGTTTATTTCGTGTAAATTATGCCAAACTTTTGGACAGAATTCTCCCCAGTGTGATGTCTATAATGTAGGACAGGGGTCTCCAACCTGTAGCTCAGAAGCAGTGTTGCCATAGTTATTTTGAAATAGTAATCTGACTACTGACTACTGATTACTTCTTTAAAAAGTAACTTAGTTAAGTTACTGACTACTTGTTTTTAAAAGTAAGAATACAAGTTACTTAATTAGTTACTTTCAGAGGCGTCTGATCCCCCACCCCATTCTTGAAGGCAGACAACACTTCGTGGCCAGCACAGACGGTACAACGAACTTTTATGTTGCCAGCTTATCCTTAGCTGAAATAAAATCTAAATAATGTTTGTATTTCCAGCTGCAAAAGTCATAACCTCTCTCCTTCCATTGTTTACATCTGACTCGAGGAGGAGCTGAGATGACGTAACATCATAGCAAACGTGTCACGATTTATACGATCATTGGGGTCACATAACCCACGTCGAAAAGAAATAAAAATAAATCACCTATGTCGCCCTAAAACGCAAAAATAGTAACGCACAGTGTATTAGATAAGTAAATTAAATCTGACTACTGGTTTGGAAATAGCACTGCGTTAGACGACTCGTTACTGAAAAAAGTAATCAGACTACAGTAACGAGTTACTAAGTAGTGCATTAGTGGCATCACTGCTCAGGAGCTACCAGCAGCTCTCCACCTCCTTCCAAGTAGCTCGCCAAGGTGTTTCGGAATTCTATGTATTATGCATAATAAGTAAATTTGATTAATTAGCATTGTAAATGTTTCACTGTGATTCCCAACTCGGCGCACCAATAAATGGATAATGGTTTGTGTTTTATAAGCATCAAGCTGTTCCTCATCTAAGGCTTGCTGTAGCTCTTATATTTACTCAGTTTCTTTGCGATTGCTGGAATATGCAGCTCTCTGGCATTTTTGTTTCGTAAAGGTAGCTCACTGGAGACAAAAGGTAGGAGTCCCCTGAGGTAGGACTTTCTGTGGGAAATAGAACTCTCTACTTCCTGTAATAATCAACATATTTTGCAACTTTTCTTCGCAAATTGCTTCTTGATTTGTGTAAAACTATAATTTATATTTACAACAGGTTTTTCTGGTGGAGGGTCTGTCACCTGATTGTTTCTATGGATATGTCATTGCCGGGGACATTAAACAGCTCTACGGGAAAAAAACAGACATTCTGACTGTGAGCGAGGTCGCCTCTCCACAGATCTGACCTGTGACTTGGTCTGGTTTGGTCTTGGGTTGCAGCTTTGCATTGAGAGTCTATCAAATGCTTTTCTTTATGGAAATACTATTGCTTTGTCTGGAATGTTTCACAGTAGGGCATTAAATCTTTCTTTCTATCTTCATGGAAACCAAACCAGTTCAAGTTACAGGTCAGAGCTGTGGAGAGGCGACCCCGCTAAAACCACCTGTAATTGAATAAATGTAAGATAGAGCTGTTAATGTTATATGATATTATATGTGATATATCCATGGAAACAAGCAGGTGACAGACCCTCAAACAAAAAGTTACCCAGTGCACCTTTAAGTAGAAAAGAGAGGATTGTGAAAAACCTGTCATGCGCACTTTAAACATAAACCTTGTGTAATGAGGTCAGAGGTCGTCCAAAGACAGGGAGAGACTTACAGCAGCTACTTTCACTATCACTGGTCCCTGAGGTGACCAGCTCTGGAGGCACAGACAGAGGAGTGAGACACAGACTGCACAGACAATCACGTACACAAACATAAAGATCCACTACGCAACTTTTCTGCTTATCGTTTTGTCTGGAAGGTTCCACAGTACATCATTGCATTGTCATTGCAAACCTCATTACATCAGGTTTGCAATTACTACAAAATTCAGCAGCACGTGTCCTGACGAGGACCAGAGGGCGGGACCACATTACACTGGTTTTAAAATCACTGCATTGGCTCCTGTGAGTTTCAGGATCAATTTTAAAGATCTTTTACTGTTTTTAAATGTCTTAATGGTCTTGGGCCTTCTTATCTTGCAGAACTGCTTTTACCCTACGAACCCTCGTGGACCCTGCGCTCCTCCAGCAGCAGCTCCTGGTCATTCCCAAAGTCAGGACACACACTCACGGAGAGGAGGCGTCTGTCCAGTTCTACGGCCCCTTGTTTATGGACCTGCAGCCGGAGGAGCTCAGGGCCAAAGAGAACGTTTGTGTTTTTAAGAGTAGGCTCAAGACCCACCTTTCTAGCTTAGCTTTTGAATGAAATATCATATTTTTTACTTGTTTCTACTGTACACATTTGATTATATTTATTTATTTTAGGCATATTTTTTAGGATATCCAGTGTTTCCTCTGTAGGAGCCTCTGCATCAGGAGCAGAGGTCGGCTGTAGCTGTCGGGTCTGTCCCGTGGGCTCCTGGTGGAGGGTTGGTGCTTTGGGCTTCATCTCTCCCCTGGCTCCTGTGGTGGTTCCTGGTGGTGGTGGACGTCTCTCTGCTCCTGATGTAGACGGCTCCTCTGATGGTGCTTTCTCAACTGGTTCACCTGTATTCAGCCTCACATTTTACTATGTGTCGTTTAATGTATTTTTATGTTAGCGCGTGTGTGTGTGTGTGTGTGTGTGTGTGTGTGTGTGTGTGTGTGTGTGTGTGTGCGTGTGTGTGTGTTTGTAGCTGTGGGGGTTGGTGGGTGGGTGGAAATGTGGGATTGTTTTTAATCTCTGTAAAGCACTTTGTGTTACATTTTTGTATGAAAAGTGCTTTATAAATAAAGTTTGATTGATTGATTTCTAGTCAGCATTTATTTAAATGTAGGTGTTTTTATTGGTCAGAAAATATCCGCAGTCTTTCTATAAGTGGGCTCACCTCACCACAGATCTGACCTGTAACTTGGCCTCATGGTGACAGCTACTTTTCATTGAAACATGCTATACAGTGGAACATCCCTCGGCAAGGCAAAAACGTCTCCTTATGAACAAACAAGGTGGTGTCGTGCAACCAGAAAAGTTACGCAGTGCAACTTTAACTACACATAAAATTACATACACACATTTATAGACAAACAACACACAACATGTTATTTTCTATGGACACTTTCAGTCTACACAACACTGATGATACACAACATGGTGAATACTTGTGAGCGCTGTAGTTACACGCAGTGACCAGCAGATGGCACTGACAGTAGAGATACATACCTTTATCATCTCCGTCCTGAAAAACAAAAAGGAAATACTCATTAGACCCAGAATTAATGTTTTTAATTCAACAAAATAGCTGTTTTCAAGAAAAACTCCTGCACACTGTCTCACTCCTGGTTTTCTTGATAAGATGTTTTGGTCCCTTCAGGTATAAGCCCCTTTCCTTGAATGAAACCTGGAACCTTCTTGTTGTGAGGCATGGTGCTAACTACTCTACTACTCTACTCCACATACCACCACGCCCCGTTCTTCACACGCCAGGTCTAAACTTTATTATAACGTGGAGTTGAGAGCTTTAGGTGATCTCAGAAGGTGCTTGTAATGTTCTATTATGGGAGCGTTTTGTCACTTAGTCAGACGTGTGAACAAACAGCAGCCCAAAGAGCGACTGGAGTCATGAGATCAGCTGCACCGCTCTGCACTCACACTATTATGTAAATAAAATAGAAAGTTTAGTTTTCAATTGTTTTTGTTAAAGATTTTGTCTTCATAGAGCTGGTATTGTTTCGCCTTGAATGTTTTCAAAGTATGGAAACATTCAAGAAAATGAAAAAACAACTATTTTCTTCATTATTTATCTCCAAAACCAAAATGAAAAAAACAGATAACAATTCGTGTTTTTTTTTCCAGTTTTCAATTTTGTGTTTAAATGGATAATGGAAAAAACTGAACCAGGACTAAACCAGAACTAAACCAGGACTAAACCAGGACTAAACCAGAACTAAACCAGGACTGAACCAGGACTAAACCAGGACTAAACCAGGATGAACCAGGACGAAAACAGGATTAAACCAGGCCTGAACCAAGACTAAACCAGGTCTAAACCAGGACTTAAACAATACTAAAACAGGACTGAACCAGGACTAATCCAGGACTAAACTAGGACTGAACCAGGACTAAAACAGGACTAAACCAGGACTGAACCAAGACTAAACCAGGTCTAAACCAGGACTTAAACAATACTAAAACAGGACTGAACCAGGACTAATCCAGGACTAAACTAGGACTGAACCAGGACTAAAACAGGACTAAACCAGGACTGAACCAAGACTAAACCAGGTCTAAACCAGGACTTAAACAATACTAAAACAGGACTGAACCAGGACTAATCCAGGACTAAACTAGGACTGAACCAGGACTAAAACAGGACTAAACCAGGACTGAACCAAGACTAAACCAGGTCTAAACCAGGAATAAAACTGTACTAAAACAGGATTAAACCAGTACTAAAACAGAACTAAACCAGGACTAAAACACTGCTAAAACAGAACTGAACCAGGAATGAACTAGAACTAAACCAGGACTGAATCAGGACTAAACCAGGCCTAAACCAGAAATGAACCAGGACTGAACCAGGACTGAACCAGGACTAAACCAGGACGAAACCGGTCTCAGTCCTGGTCTCAGTCCCAATCCCCCGACAGTCTATGCGGGCGCACCTCTGGGCCCACCCAACACTCAGTCCTGGTTTAGCCCTGGTTTAGCCCTGGTTTAGTCCTGGTTTAGTCCTGGTTTAGTCCTGGTTTAGTCCTGTTTTAGTCTTGGTTCAGTCCTGGTTCAGTCCGTATGCGGTGCAAAAGTCCGGCAACGCAGTTTAAGTCACATAAACTGGAAACGGCCGTTATGTTTTTTCCATTATCCATTTAAACATAAAATAAAAAAACTGAAAAAATGAATTGTTAAAGTTAGTTGCTTTTTTCATTTTCTTATTTTTGGTTTTATTTTGAAAAACAAATGAACGAATGATATACATCTACATGATTAGTGGTGTCACCTGCTTGTTTTAAAGGTGCATTGTGTAACTTTTTGCTTGTGCGTCCGTCACCTGCTTGTTTCTGTGGATGTCATTGGTCTGCCTGGAATGTTCCACAGTATGACACTTAACAGCTCAAGTTAAAATTTCTACTTAAATTAAGAATATTTTTACTTTATTTGAGTGGATTCAACTTGACAAGTAAAATGATCTACCAGTGGAGTGTGTTTTTCTTAATTCAAGCAACATTTGATTTTATTTCTTATCATAAGTGCAAAGACTTGTTGTTTTTTCTTATTTTAAGTGTAGCAAGATGTATTTTCATATTTTAACTACAAAAAGTCTTATTCCACTGGCAGATCATTTTACCTGACGAGTGAAAGTTTACTCAAATCATGATAAAACTTTCTTAATTCGAGTCATCTTAACTTGAGTAGATTTGGATTTTTGCGATGTATTCAATTCCAGGTGGATTTATAGCTCAAAAATGCCTAGGAAAACAGACGTTCAGACTGTGAGCGGGGTCGCCTCTCCACAGATCTGACCTGTAACTTGTCCTGGTTTGATCTCCATGAAGATAGAAAGGTTTAAAAGCAAAAACATCTCCATGGAGAAAAGCATTTGACGAACCTCCACTAGAAAAGTTACACAATGCACCTATAATCAGTGTTGGGGAGTAACAGATTACATGTACCGGAGTTATGTAATCAGAGTACAAATTATGAGTAACTGTTTTCAGTTACAGTTACTGTTTCAGTGAGTGGTAATTGGATTACACTTACTTTGTTGAAATAAATGGATTACACGGCGGGATTTTCCTGTTTTCACATTTTGGGCTATATCCCCCTTTTATATATTTTTTCCCCGTAATTCCACTCATTGCCGGACACTAAACCAGGTCTAAAACCAGGTCTAAAACCAGGACTAAACCAGGACTAAACCAAGACTAAAACCAGGTATAAACCAGGTCTAAAACCAGGACTAAACCAGGACTAAACCAGGACTAAACCAAGACTAAAACCAGGTATAAACCAGGTCTAAAACCACGACTAAACCAGGACTAAACCAAGACTAAACCAGGACTAAAACCAGGTCTAAAACCAGGTCTAAAACCAGGTCTAAAACCAGGACTAAACCAGAACTAAAACCAGGTATAAACCAGGTCTAAAACCAGGACTAAACCAGGACTAAAACCAGGTATAAACCAGGTCGAAACCAGGTCTAAATCCAGGACTAAAACCAGGACTAAAACCAGGTCTAAATCCAGGACTAAAACCAGGACTAAAACCAGGACTAAACCAGGACTAAACCAGGACTAAAACCAGGTATAAACCAGGACTAAACCAGGACTAAACCAGGACTAAAACCAGGACTAAAACCAGGACTAAAACCAGGACTAAACCAGGACTAAACCAGGACTAAAACCAGGACTAAAACCAGGACTAAAACAGGATTAAAACCAGGTATAACCCAGGACTAAAACCAGGTATGAGCCAGGTCTAACACCAGGTCTAAAACCAGGACTAAACCAGGACTAAACCAGGACTAAACCACGACTAAACCAGGTCTAAAACCAGGTCTAAACCAGGACAAAACCAGCAAATCAAGTAATCCAAAGTATTCAGATTACGTTACTCATTTTAAGTAATTTAATAGATTACATTACAAACTACATTTTGGGGTGTGTAATCTGTAATCTGTAGGGGATTACATTTTAAAAGTAACCTTCCCAACACTGCCTATAATTGAACGAATGCCACATATATAAGTTTAATGCCATATAGCGGAACATTCCAGGTAAAACAATAACTTCTCCATAAGATAAACAGGTAGATAGAAACGATTTCACAGTTTAAACATAATTCTACAGATTCTAATTCATGTAAAATGCTAATTAGAGATACTCACAGATCTGTCCTGAGTCTTGTTCACTCTGACCGTCTTGAGTCGCGACCTCTCTTTCTTCTCAGCTCTGAAAAAAATATATAAAAAATTAAAGTTTTAAACGCATTACAAAACTTTTATAAGAATAAAACACAGTGACAATAATTGAACTATGGTGTTGCTGTTGCTACGGTACCCAGGGGTTTTTCAGATGACAAAAAAAATCACACACTTGAATTCATTTCCACTTGTACAATCACCACATCAGACCTGGGACTAAACTGGGTCTAAACACGGCACTAAACCAGGACTAAACCAGGACTAAACAAGGACTAAACCTGGAATAAACCAGGACTAACCCAGGACTAAACTAGTATTATACCAGGACTAAACAAGGACTGAACCAGGACTAAAATAGGACTAGACCAGGACTAAACCAGGACTAAACCAGAACTATACCAGGACTAAACCAGGACTAAAGTAGGACTAAACTAGACAGGACTAAACCAGATAGACTATAAGGACTAAACCAGGACTAAAGTAGGACTAAACTAGGACTAAACAAGGACAATACCAGGACTAAACCAAGACTAAACTAGGACTAGACCAGGACTAAACTAGGACTAAACAAGGACTAAAGAAGGACAATACCAGGACTAAACCAAGACTAAACCAGGACTAAACTAGGACTAAACCAGGACTAAACCAGAAATATACCAGGACTAAACCAGGACTAAAGTAGGACTAAACTAGGACTAAACAAGGACTAAACAAGGACAATACCAGGACTAAACCAAGACTAAACTAGGACTACACCAGGACTGCATCAGGACTACACCAGGACTAAATCAGGACTAAACTAGGACTATACCAGGACTAAACAAGGACTAAACCAGGACTAAACCAGGACTAAACTAGGACTAAACCAGGACTAAACCAGGACTAAACTATGACTAAACTAGGACTAAATGAGGACTAAACAAGGACTGAACCAGGACTAAACCAGGATTGAACCAGGACTAAACCAGGACTAAACTAGAACTAAACCAGGACTAAACTAAGTCTAAACCAGGACTAAACCAAGACTAAACCGGGACTCAATCAGGACTAGAATGGGACAAAACCAAATCTACTTTAGTATGTAAACTCAGCCAAAACCAGGACCAAACTAGGAACATTTTAAATTTAAAGGTCATATATTATGCAAAATTGATTCTTGTGAGATTTTAACCATGTTATAATGTTGTTTCCTTCTCAAAAACATGATATCCGGCTCGGGCTGGCTTCAATCACTGCTCTGTCATACACTAGATCGGGCTCGGACAGAAAAATTTGTCCCGATCCACACTCAAGTCTACATCTCCAAAGCTCTGTTCCACCTTGTGATATCCTGAAGTGGTAGCTTTCAAGTTACAGCTATCTTTTACGTTTTGTTCAGTAGAGATTGGCAATTCCAAGGCTGAAATCATGCAAATGACTCTACTGAAGGTGTGTGAAGTTTAAAAACACAGTGTAGCACTTCCTGTATTACCACATGACATCACAAGGTGGAATACAGTGCTTTCCGTTTGAGAGAAGAACTCATACATACACATAATTTGTTAAACATGAACAAATTAAATGAAACACAAAGCCAAGTATGTTTTTGCAGAGGAAACAACATTATAACAGATCAGAAAACTGCATAGTATAAGCCTTTTAAGTTTATATTTAACTCTTTCCCCCATGAAGACGACATTTGACGATCCCCCGTGTTTCCTTAATGACGTGTTTTGACTCCTCAGTTATATCACTAAAGACGTGATTTGACGACCATTTAGAAACAGTTCCTGTTTTTCACATGTAAACAGAGACTGTGATAGGTGGGACCACTACAACCCACACTAGACTGACCAATAGAATTCAAGGATATGTTTTTTCCAAAATTAATCAAAGTAGTGACGATTGTAGCTTCCAGAAAAAACACAACACAAAACATGTGCAATGGAAAGATCGCGGCGCTGTGTGCGCACAGTTTTAGAAAATAATGAGGAGCGGTTGTATTTTATGGATAAGTTTAGAGAAAGTGACTTTTATAGATTTCAAAGTGATGATGAAGTTGATTATAAAGTGGAAAACAGCGATAGTGACGAACTTTCAGAGAGTGAAACTTACGAAGATGAGAATGCTGCTGATGCGTCTGTGTGGAGTCCTGCGATATCCAAACAAACTATCGAGGACTTTATACTCGATTATGAACCAAAATTGAAACTGAAATCTGGATGTTGCTCAGGCGAGTCCTTTTGAAATATTTCAGTTTTTTTTTCCAAGATGTGATGTATGACAGAATCACTACAGAAACAAACACTTAAGAGGAGCTCTGTGCACGAGAAAGTCACAAAGATGACAAATACTGAACACCCACTGACAGGGAAGAGTTTTATTATTATATTATTATATTATAATAAGCTAAATGAGTTGAATAAATTAAATGAAAAAAAAAAACAAATTAGGTGCACACAGGTGTACAACAGGTAAAAACACTTGGCTGTACTGTATCTGGTGATATGAAATCTGTTTAAATACTTTGACAAATATATTTTTAAATTTTTTGTATAAATATAGTACTCAGAACATGCAGATATCAGATGCTGAATGTAGGTTTTGTTTTTGATTTTGCACCTGACCAGGTAAACTCTCATTTTCAGTGAGCTGTTATAAACCTGTAAATGAGTTGAATCATATTTAAACATTCATAAATGAAGAGTTCAGAGTCTAAGGTTTCCAGAGAGACCAAATATGTCTGTGTTACAATAAAGTTCATGAGTGTGAAAACACACATCCGTTTTCTTTTATGCAGTTATGCTCTATGGGCAGCCCTAGTCATATATGTACGGGTTGTTCCTAGTGGGCGTCCAAGGGGGAAAGAGTTAATGTTGTTATAACTGGATCACACATTTGTCCTTTTGTCCATCGTCCATTACTTTTTTAGGTCATCAAAAATACCAAATACTGAGCGCGTACTGACTTAGGAACCATCTCCGTTTCAAACCTTACATTTTGCATCGCCCAAAATATTGTCGAAAACTCAGATTTAGCTGTAACAATAGCTCTCAGTTTGCTAATGCCACAAGAAGCCACCCACTAAACCCTATGCAAATGTAACACAGAAAAATGCAAATCTACCCAGGCCTGAAGCTTAAACAGGAGCAGAGGAGTCTAATCCGCTCTGACAACTCCACTCACCGTAATCCACACAACAGGGATTTCCACACAGACGGGTGTTAAGTGGTCAACTGTGCAGGGTTTTGAGTGATTTAAGTGATTTCGAACCAATCATAGACTCTTTATATATATAACGGACATAGGTAACCCAAACCCAACCCACCAAATAGGAAGTGACCTTGGGCACAGTTCCGGCTCCATCGACTCCACTTCATTTTATATTGTAAAATTGTTGCCAATCGTAATTTTGGTCTTAAAATGTCCGTATGACCCGATCAACACAATCCTGGTGTTTTTCTTTTGCAATTTTTACGTGTATAAATCCCTGTTCCTAATATGGACTTGGCTCCAAACTCGCTCCTGTAAATGCTAGTGACTAACTGAAAAACTGCTGCTTAATATCAGCTAGATTATGACTGTAATGTTATTAATGAGAGAGACTTGTTTAACACCACCTCATTATTATTGTAGTTCCAGATAAATCAGTTCTTTATGGTCAGACTGCATTAAAACAAAGCTTAATGTCTAACTTGAGCAACAGAGCCACAGACAGAGCAGTGGAAAGTTTGTAACATCAACTGTAAAGTATTGATTACAATAAGGTCGTCTGAAACCCTCTAATATGAAATAATGAGATTTATTTATTTATTTATTTATTTATTTTTTGTTTGAGATGGTAGAGGGGCCCGGTCGAGCAGAAGTAAACAACAAGGCCAAAATTTCAAGTTAATGCATCTGATATAAAAATGTATTGAACAGATACATATGTACTCTAGTTTATGAAACTGTTGACCTTTTTTCTGTACCATTTTTGGTTCTAAAGTTCCATATGTTTTAAACAGACCATGTATGAAACATGGAACAAAAATTATTTCCCAAATTTCAAAGACCTGCAAATCATGTCAATAAATGGATGTATTTCATCATATCTTGTGTTATTCCATCTTTGAACTGTTGATGAAGGTACATGATTTAAAAAAAAAATGTATTTAAAATGATAACAATTTGCTTGGAAGGACTGACATATTTTATAGAAATAGTTTCCTTTCATTTTGAAGTAATATTAAAGTTTTTGGAAGAAAAAAGCGACAAATTATGCAAAATCATGCACCTTCTACTTGTTTGCACAATTTTCCCTCCGTTACTTTTCCTCCGTTACCATGACCTTTCTTAATAAAAAATCTCATGACTCAAAAAGTAAGAGGTTTTTCAACCTAATCTTGTACCATATGGTAGAAAACTATATGAAGCAAATATTCAAACCAGTTTGTTAAGGATATGTAAGTGAGAACCAAGAGTTATCACTGTTTGTGTTTATTGCCCAAAAAGTGCTGCATATTTCATTCCCTCCGTTACCGACATGAGTTTTTTAATTTTTTGTCAACAACTTGAAAGAATATCACAGGTTTAACTTGACCCTGTTGGAGTGTTAAATCTTTCCTACATTCTGATACTTTACTTATTTCAATAGTCCCTCTAGTTTCTGAATAAGAGACATTTGAATGTCAAAAATCTGCCCCTGTTTCCCTCCATTACCGCTTGACCGGACCCAGAGGTAGGAGACATAACACTGCAAATTTCTCTGATCTGGCCAAGATTTTAAAACTTATCAGGTTATTCATCTTGTTTTCAGATTTATGATCTACTCACTAGTTCTGAATTGGTTGTATAATCTTAAAAATTGTCATATATATTTCTTCAATGACTGAACTAGTCAAAAATCTTACACTTAGGCAATAAATGTTTAAAATAAACTACAATCCATTTACAATTATGACCGTTTTCCCCATAACACTTAACTGTTAGTTTTTAGATTCAGTGACACAGATTTTCTCGATACTCAAGTAACGTATTTTTCAGACTATAAGTGGCACTTTTTTTGATAGTTTGGGTGTTTCCTGCAACTTATACTCCGGTGCGATTTATATATTAAAATTTTCACACTGACAGCCGTGAGAGGCTCTAGTCTTGTGTGTCAGTATCTAGTACTACTATTACTCCTGTACCACTGTCACTTCACACTCTACTGCATGTCTCCTGCAGAAAAAGCCACTGTCTTGCTGCAAATAGTGAAATATTCAGCCGAAAATGGTAATGGAGCAGCAGAAAGAAAGTTTGGAGTGAGCAAGAAACAACAGAAAGTGAGGATGGAGAACACAGCTTCACGGCAACCAGGAGGATGCACCATGAAACTTTCCTGGAAGTCACTGGATGAATTTACAAAGCCTGAACCTCACTGACAACCGAAACCATCCTGTCGGGATTCAGAAAGGCCAGAATAATTCTAACTGGAACTGATGCTGAGTCTGACGACAACCACACAGAAGAGGAAGCGGTGCTCTGTTTACCTCATGGATCTATGGTTTATCTCCAGAGGTCGCGCAGAAGTGACACCGAGGATGAAGAATTCAATAGATTTAGTGATTTGGAGTGAGATCGTGAGTTTGGTAAACTTATGTTATGTTGTTTATGCTATAATTATCTGAAGAACTGTTCATATGTTACAGTAACATATTAACGCCTGTTCAGTCTGTTGTTCTCTGTTCTGTTGTTATTACTATACTTGTCTTTCAAGATGAAATGTTGCTTCCTGGTCTCTGATTTAAAAAAAATACATTTCCCCAAAAGTGCGATTTATATATGTTTTTTTCTTCTTCATTGCGCATTTTTTGGCTGGTGTGACTTATACTCCGGAGCGACTTATAGTCTGGAAAATATGGTATGTTTATCTCAAACTTAGCCTCCATAAACTTTCCAGCCCATGAACATTTACCACAGTCTGCTTCATTCTAGTCTAGAGGTCATTTATTTTAAGAGAACTTGTCAAGTCAAATGATCTTGCTGCATGGACAGATAATTTCACTACTTCTAAGTCATTTTCTGATAGATTTAAGTGTTTATATCTTACATCACAGAGTGCAGTTGCTGTTTTGAATTACAATATTGAGTAAAGAATTCAAAATAAAGATTAGACGGATGAAAAAAAGCAGGTTACAAAAGGAAGGGAGTTATTTTGTGAGACTTTATACAATACTATACAGACTATATATGTAAGTGTAGGACTAAAAAACAAGTTGTTACCACCAGGGGGCGATAGTCTAATCTCCTGTGTCCATCAGTAGAGAGGGAGGGCCACATGAGAACCTTTAAGACCATTGGTGTAATTGGATTTTGATGAACATTTGTGTCTCAGTCCATTTCTTGTGTTTTTAGGGCCTTCTACTTTTATGAAGATAATGTTTCAGCTCCATAGTTCAGAGCTCAGAGTTGGGTTGCTGTTACTCCACACTGAGAGGAGCCAGTTGGGTTTCAAAGCTCACATGAAACGTAAATGGACTGTAAAATTTGCCACATAAGTGTAGACAGAGCCACAGTCTGAGCGCAGCAGTGACAGAAGTGGTTTAAAGTGATTCCCAAACACCCCAGGCTTCACAGACTGATATCAGGACAAGTTGGAGTAATGAAGATTGAGAAATGTAGGATGTTTTTATTGTGAAGTACGAGCCCTGTTTCCACTAGGGGTGTGCCGATCTGAAACTGGTATTATATTTCATCGCAGATACTGAAAAAAATACAAAATGGATTCAAACAGTACATTTACCTGACTCTGATCGATACGAGATTTCATGGTCCTGTTTTGGTATTTGATTTTCAACAGAAAGCTGAGAGATTGACACAGACTTGTTTAAGAGCACAAATCAGCTCACCTGTGAAGCTAACTGTAGACACTGCTCTGTCTGGAGCTCTGTTACTCAAGTGAAGACTTTTGCTGCATTCTATTCTGCTCGGGACTCAGGGAAAACCTCCACCTCGATCAAATCGGGGTTACAAAGCACAACTTGTCTTTTAGTCATTTTAATGTGTTAAGTTGGTTATGTGGAGAGAAAGTGCTTTCACATCATTTGACAGCAGACAGAAGTTGTTGTTGTTTTTTTTTTCTGAACATGTAATAGTAGGGTGACCATGGGGAGGTGGAGCCTTGACATTGAGCTACTCTCACTTTGCAACCTGTGCACATGACCTCCCACTTGTCCTGACCCTAACAAAAAACAGAGAATTTCTTGTACAAGTCATTGTTAAATGCACATTTGCATTTCGGCATGTTGCAGACTGACCGACTGTTTGTGTCTGCTCGCTCCTTCTGAGTTGCACAGAGCTACGAGAGACACTCAGTTTAATGGCCTCAATGAACGGTAATGAAAACCCGGACATTTGCATCACTTAAAAAAAAACAACCCGGACGCCCAGGACAGGACACAAAAAACTGACATGTCCGGAGAAAAACGGACGTTTGGTCACCCTATGTAATAGTCAAAGTGCCATAACTGAGTTGCCAACAGCTAACATTAGTTAACAGACTGTATTTATTAGCAGGAGCTAGCGACGTTACATTAACCTTTCTTGGACCTCCATATTTTTCCTGATAATTGGAATGAAACACATTTACAACAGATGTCGGGAGAACTGACTCAGATTTATCCACTACCGACATTTAATAGAATGCAGCATTAAATCTGAGTTTTACGACATGAAACATGAATCTGACATGACAGAATTGACTTAGATGGAAGTACAACAAGTGAGCTGATTTGTGCTGTAAAACAAGTCCCTCTCAAATAACATGACAGTCACATGCTAGATAGCATTAACCAGTAGTTTTTCAGTTACTCACTCTCACATTTTTGTTGAAAATCAAACATCTAAACATGGTTTTCATGGATGCTCATATTGATCTCAGGCTCCTGAAAATGTGTTGCTTAAATCCATTTTGTATTTTTGTTGAGTTTTCAGAGAGTCTAAAAAATGTATTGGTAAATGGTCAAATTTTTATATAACACGTTTCTACCTTCAAGGCACTCAAAGCACTTTACAACAAGGAACCACTCACACATTCACACACCAGTGTACACACACGCTAGGGGCGAGGTAGGTTAAGTGTCTTGCCTAAAGACATAACGGCAGCATTCATCTGTAGGAGCTGGAATCACACCAGCCAACCTTCAGATCAGTGGACAAACTCTCTACTACCTGAGCTACTGTGGTTATTGAGTGTGTTTGATAATGTGTGCACTCTGTCTCCATGGTAACTGCTGAACATTCCACTACATAGACATACATGTAGAACCCCTCCCTGCAGCGTGACAATGAGTGCAGGTCTGTGTAGTGTTTGAGGGTATACAGGCAAGAGCGGCCACTCGGACACAACCATTAAGTGTAACATGAGTACTGTAGTCCTGTTGGTATACATGTCGGCGTACTGACCTCCTGCGGCTGGGAATGACCCCCACCTCGGGGCAGTTGGGGGGAGGGGGGTTGAGGTGCCGTGCGGACCACCACTCCTCCTCTCCGGCGCTGCTCACGTGGAGGATGTCCCCGAATCGGAAGCCCAAAACCTGGCCCGGGGCGCTGGAGTCCCCCTCGGCACCATCGAAATCAAACAGCGCTCTGTGGAACAACAACGACTCTGTGAGAAATTACCATCGATTAACAATTCAAAACTACACATTTTACACTTCAAAGTTCCTGTATTAAGCATATTGACTCTTTTGAGTTTTAAACCATGTGAGAATGTTTTTACCTCATAAAACATACCTGGAGTTGTGTTTTCATTCATGTTTGAGTAACCCTTTATTATTATTATTAGTCTGTCTATATCTCCAAAACTCCAAAACTGTTCTGTTCCCCCTTGTGATGTCATGAAGTTGTAGTTTTCAAGGTAACAGCCAACTCTGGCCTTTTATTCAACAGAGACGGGCAATTCCAGGACTGAAATCATCCAAATGATTCTCGTGAAGGTGTGTGGAGTTTAAAAACAAAGTGGAGCACTTTCTGTATTACCACACAAGGTGGAACAGAGTGTTTTCAGTTTGAGAAAAGAACTCAGCCTAAATATGCAAGATGTGTGTGTTAAACAAGTGTGAATGAAACAAAACACAACTTAAATGTATGTATTTCTTTGTAAAGGGACAGCACATACTAATGAACATTACAGTGGTGCGTGTGCATGAGACGGGCACAGACCCAGTCAGTTCTGTCATGGCACATACAAAATTCTATATTCCTGGTGCCTCTGCTGGTGTGTACTTGCATCGCGGGGTTCTGGAGCTGTTTTATGGTCACATACATAACTTCTTCCCACACTCCTCTTTGCTGCCTGTAATGAGGTTAAGATTGCAGACTTTACCCACACGGGCAGTACTTTTAAACACCACGGGTCACAGACTGGCTCAGATGCCGTCACAGACATGTACTTGTACTGTCCTACTCCAGGCTTCAGCAGCGAAGTGCAGCCCCACCTGGACACGCCCACTTGCGCTAAGCACTAAGACTGGGGCAAGATACGGCCCATTATTACTCTGTGTATATTTGAGCCCTTCTCGTAGGAAATAAAAAAAAAAATCCATCCACATTCACATTCATAATCCACATTCACCAAGACAGGGAGGCAACGCCGGCGGAGTTACGCCATGATCTGCAAATGGATCGTGGACACCTGGGCTAAGGATCAGTTTCAAGTGCCGTCCGTTTGTTTCTCTTTATGCGTCTTATAATCCGGTGCAATTTATGTATGAAAATAGACAAGAGAATTCAACATTCTTGATATTTAGCCTTATAGTCTGAAAAATATGGTATACTTTATATGTTAAATCACACTATGACTCATTTACAAGAGAAAAGTTGGATAATGGCGTTTATAACAGGAAGCTAAAACAACTGAATAGAATTTTGATCACAATGGGAAGGAGGAGCACTTTCTGGATTAACACCTAATGACATCATTCAGTGGAATCATTTGAGTGTTTTTGTTGTCAGTTTAGAGTAACATAATAGTGTAACAAAGCAAATGCCTTGTCATGGTTTATATAGTAAAATTTTCCCATAATGTTGTCTATGTTAAATCTGAACTAGAATTGTTCAAATGTGATTGGAGTTGTAGTGTGTGTTTGAAATAAATGTAAAATGTAATTACAAATAACATTTTCCAAAGCCATAAAAATAAAACAACTGTAAAGAGTTCGAAATATCTTTTAAGGAGAGTTAAATTATGTAAACAAATCACAATATCACGGTCTAGACTAGTTTAAATATTGGATGTGGTCCTCAGAGCGATTCAAGCCTGGGTGAGTGTGTGGGGGAAATAGAGCTGAAGTAATGATTTCCCTGAAGTCCCTGAACGCATCATTTCATCAATAAAACAAACAGAAACGTGAACGCGACGCTAAAACCTTCTCATTTATAAAACAAGATCAAAAGTCCAGACTCATACCCAACCCAATTGTGTAACTCGTTTATCTTCATGGAGGCCAAACCAGACCAAGTTACAGGTCAGATCTGTGGAGAGGCAGTCAGAATGTCTGTTTTTCTAGGTGTTTCTGAGCTATAAAACCATTTGTAATTGAATAAGTAGAGCTGTTTAATGTCACATTGTGGAACATTCCAGGCAGAGTAATGACGTATCCATGGAAACAAGAAGGTGATGGACCCCCAAACAAAAAGTTACACAGTGCACTTTCAATATAGGTTCACTTTCGTTAAATAAACATTAAACATTGTTCAGCTTCCTGTTATATGGTGCCATTTTGAGGCCTGACCATTCAAAAGATTTTGTTTTGAATTGTTAATTGCTATGGTAACTGTCCTAACTTTTCCTCATTCTGAAACCAATGGACTGACTTTGCAGGTTCTCCCTTTTTTCTCCTGTTTTTCCTCCATCACCCTTCAAAATATAATAATCCTCCAAGATCTGAGCTCAGCTTCTGGAGATGACCCACTGCTCTTGACTGACTCTTACGGCTTGTCTCCATGGAGATGTTCCACAGTGTAGCATTAAAATGTTCTGTTCTGTTCTCCATTTATTCAGTTATAGGTGTTTTATTGCTAAAGCAGGGGTGGGCAGTTTTTTTTTTGTTTGTTTGTTTTTTTTTCCCCACATGGAACATGAGGAACAGCAAATATTGTGGAGGGCCGGGCCAAAATGGTTATCTCAATTCAACATAATATTCATTGTTATAATAATTAATTATAAAAAGCAGTAAACAGCATCATTTTGACGAGCTGGTAAGACTGGTAAGAGTTTCTGTTAGGACTAAGCAATGAAAAATGTCATCACCTTTAAAATAAAAGTAATGCAGATTTAGACCTTAATTTAATTTGTAATTCCAAATGAGCTTAAAGGGACAGTCTGGAATTTTGGACATAGACATTGTTTACTCATTGCTGCCAATGCCATAACCAAAGTATTGTTTGCACATACTCCATAATTAGATGTTGATTCATGTTACGTTATTTCACGTTGTTGTTTTTTTTTACCCTCCTTCCATTTAACATTGCACTGCAGACCGGTTGAGTAAACAAAAAAGAGGCGAATGAAATTTAAAACCTTTGTGAAAAAATAACACTTGACAACATAATTTAAGACTTTTTAAGGCCTTAATTTAGGAACATGAAATTTAAGACTTTTGTAAGACTTTTAAGACCTCGCAGATACCCTGTATTAGTAGCAGGCTAACTATGGCCATTGACATGCACTAGCCTAGCACCAGCGACCTCTGCAAATACAGGGACTGGATGGAATATTTCAAAAAGTGTCTCCACACGTCTCCAACACTCTGGCTCACTAGGAAATGAGATGCTATGTCCAAAATTCCGGACTGTCCCTTTAAACTGGCTGGTCAGAGTCAACCAAAGGGACATATATGGCCCGGGAACTGGACAATGCCCAGGTCTGTGTTAAAGGAATACAGTGAATGATGAGGTCTTACTGCTGAGTGTGGTCTCGTCTCCACAGATTGGTCATTTATTTAGATACGATAAATCTGTGGAATATTCTAGGAAAAGCAATAACATCTCCAAAAAAATATGTAGTGCATATTTAACCATTAACAGAGAATAACATGAAACCTGCAGTTGCCAACTTATTATCTTTATAAGTTGGGTTTCTACCAGCGTTAACTAACCTGAATTTGACATCCATTTTCTGCCAATGTTTTTTGAAAGTAAAAATGTGAGATGTTCCAAAATACTGGGAAATCAAATTATCCAATCTCAGTTTGATTAAATAACCTTAGAAAGCGCTAATTTCATTTCCTTGTACTTGATGCAGTGACTGTGTGATCAGCATTTCACACAATGTAGAATCTATATCTGGTCTTCCCTTGGGCTCTCTCCCCCAACCCCCCGTATATTACCTGACAACGCTTACATTTCTCCCAGGAATTAGTCCAGCACAGGAGCGTATGTGTACACAGTGTATGCCCTCTTATGAAACTCAATCAACCACACGCAGGTAAATTAAAAATAAAGGGTCCATATTACACTGTTTTCTAATCAATGTTATAATGTAGTTTCCTCATCAAGAACAGACCTGGAGCTGTGTTTTGTTTCATGTTTGACGCACAAACCCTGCATGATTTTAGTCTTGGAATTGCCTGTGTCTTATGAACTAAAGATAAAAGGTAGTTGTTAACTTAAAAACTCTAATCATTTGTAATTTAGCGAAACAGACGACACTTGAGATTGATCCTTAGCTCAGGAGTCCATGATCCACTGGCAGATCGTGGCGTAGCTCGCCTGGCGTTGCCTCCCTGTCTTGGTGATTGTGGATTATGAATGTGAATGTGGGTGAATAATTTAAGTTTGTTTTGTTATTTCCTATGAGAAGGACTCAAATATACATTGAGTAATAATGTGTTTAATGCAGCTTTAACACATTTGTTTACATTTTACAGAAATGAAATTTAAAACCACATGGCTCATTTGCATAAACTTTATGTGCTGAAAAAAAAACAGCTTGTTCCTTGTGCGCTGATGTGGTCAGTTTCTGTTGGACTTTTGCTGGACTAACTCTGCGAGGCTCCTGACTGTAGTAGCTGTAATATTCCAATAAGCCATCAAGCAGTGCGGCTTCGTAGCTTACCAAAATTGTACTAAAACATTTTGACAGATCTTTGAGCGCAGTGTACCACATAAAATCGGTTCTAGATCAGTAATCACAACCAGAATTAATGCAAAAGGTGCATAAGGCGCACTGTCGATTTCTGAGAAAATTAAAGGGTTTTAAGTGAAGAATTTCAAAAGTGTACTGTGAACTGAATCCTGATTTAAACACATCAAATAGCAAAACTAATCACTAAAATCCCAATTTTTTTTTTCTTTCAAATTTTGTTGCCCTATTATACTTAACATTCTTAACAAAATACCACAAATACATGACCCACCCCTCCTCTTTTACATTCAATGAGGGACACTCCTAGTTAAAATCACATATCCACCATTTCAAGGTTATATGACAGAAACATGATAAATCGCTGTGGTGTGAGAAGGTCCCCTGGTCTGCTGTCACGCCGGGTGACCAATCAGAGCGCGCGATGGAAGAGGAGGAGGCGTGTGATTGGTCGGTGAGGAGAGCATTGAAGCATTAAGAGATGTACTCTCGGTGGGGATGT